GTCCACGTCCACGTCCACGTCCATGTCCACGTCCACGTCCACGTCCAGTCCCGTCCACGTCCACGTCCACGTCCACGTCCATGTCCACGTCCTGTCCTGTCCACGTCCACGTCCACGTCCACGTCCACGTCCATGTCCACGTCCACGTCCATGTCCACGTCCACGTCACGTCCACGTCCACGTCCACGTCCACGTCCACGTCCACGTCCACGTCCACGTCCACGTCCATGTCCACGTCCACCACGTCCACGTCCACGTCCACGTCCACGTCCACGTCCACGTCCACGTCCAGTCCACGTCCACGTCCATGTCCACGTCCACGTCCACGTCCACGTCAGTCCACGTCCAGTCCACGTCCACGTCCACGTCCACGTCCACGTCCACGTCCATGTCCACGTCCATGCGTCCACGTCCATGTCCACGTCCACGTCAGTCCACGTCCACGTCCACGTCCACGTCCACGTCCACGTCCACGTCACGTCCAGTCCACGTCCCCACGTCCACGTCCACGTCCATGTCCACGTCCACGTCCACGTCCACGTCCATGTCCACGTCCACGTCCATGTCCACGTCCACGTCCACGTCCACGTCCACGTCCACGTCCACGTCCACGTCCACGTCCACGTCCATGTCCACGTCCACGTCCACGTCCACGTCCACGTCCACGTCCACGTCCATGTCCACGTCCACGTCCACGTCCACGTCCACGTCACGTCCACGTCCACGTCCACGTCCACGTCCACGTCCACGTCCACGTCCACGTCCACGTCCACGTCCACGTCCACGTCCATGTCCACGTCCACGTCCATGTCCACGTCCATGTCCACGTCCACGTCCGTCCACGTCCACGTCCACGTCCACGTCCACGTCCATGTCCCGTCCACGTCCACGTCCATGTCCACGTCCACGTCCACGTCCACGTCCACGTCCACGTCCACGTCCACGTCCACGTCCACGTCCACGTCCACGTCCACGTCCACGTCCACGTCCACGTCCACGTCCACGTCCACGTCCACGTCCACGTCCACGTCCACGTCCACGTCCACGTCCACGTCCACGTCCACGTCCACGTCCACGTCCACGTCCACGTCCACGTCCACGTCCACGTCCACGTCCACGTCCACGTCCACGTCCATGTCCACGTCCACGTCCACGTCCACGTCCACGTCCACGTCCACGTCCACGTCCACGTCCACGTCCATGTCCACGTCCACGTCCATGTCCACGTCCATGTCCACGTCCACGTCACGTCCACGTCCATGTCCACGTCCACGTCCACGTCCACGTCCACGTCCACGTCCACGTCAGTCCACGTCCACGTCCACGTCAACGTCCCACGTCCGTCCACGTCCACGTCCGTCCACGTCATGCACGTCCACGTCCATGCCACGTCCACGTCCACGTCCACGTCCACGTCCACGTCCATGTCCACGTCCACGTCCACGTCACGTCCACGTCCACGTCCACGTCCACGTCCACGTCCACGTCCACGTCCAGTCCACGTCCACGTCCACGTCCACGTCCACGTCCACGTCCACGTCCACGTCCACGTCCACGTCACGTCCACGTCCACGTCCATGTCCACGTCCACGTCCACGTCCACGTCCATGTCACGTCCACGTCCATGTCACGTCCACGTCACGTCCACGTCCACGTCCATCCACGTAGTCCACGTCCACGTCCACGTCCACGTCCACGTCCACGTCCACGTCCACGTCCACGTCCACGTCCACGTCCATGTCCACGTCACACGTCCACGTCCACGTCCACGTCCACGTCCACGTCCAGTCCACGTCCACGTCCACGTCCACGTCACGTCCACGTCCACGTCCACGTCCACGTCCACGTCCATGTCCACGTCCACGTCCACGTCCACGTCCACGTCCACGTCCACGTCCACGTCCACGTCCAGTCCACGTCCACGTCCACGTCCGTCGTCCACGTCCACGTCCACGTCCACGTCCACGTCCACGTCCACGTCCACGTCCACGTCACGTCCACGTCCATGTCCACGTCCACGTCCACGTCCACGTCCATGTCCAGTCCACGTCCACGTCCACGTCCACGTCCACGTCCACGTCCACGTCCACGTCCACGTCCACGTCCACGTCCACGTCCACGTCCACGTCCATGTCCACGTCCACGTCACGTCCACGTCCACGTCCACGTCCACGTCCATGTCCACGTCACGTCCATGTCCACGTCCACGTCCACGTCCAAGTCCACGTCCACGTCCACGTCCATGTCCACGTCCACGTCCACGTCCATGTCCACGTCCACGTCCACGTCCACGTCTTTCCACGTCCACGTCCACGTCCACGTCCATGTCCACGTCCATGTCCACGTCCACGTCCACGTCCACGTCCACGTCCACGTCCACGTCCACGTCCACGTCCACGTCCACGTCCACGTCCATGTCCACGTCCACGTCAACGTCCACGTCCACGTCCATGTCCACGTCCATGTCCACGTCCACGTCCACGTCCAGTCCATGTCCACGTCCACGTCCACGTCCACGTCCACGTCCACGTCCACGTCCATGTCCACGTCCACGTCCACGTCCACGTCCATGTCCACGTCCATGTCCACGTCCACGTCCACGTCCACGTCCACGTCCACGTCCACGTCCACGTCCACGTCCACGTCCATGTCACGTCCACGTCCACGTCCACGTCCATGTCCACGTCCACGTCCACGTCCACGTCCACGTCCATGTCCACGTCCACGTCCACGTCCACGTCCACGTCCACGTCCACGTCCACGTCCACGTCCACGTCCACGTCCACGTCCACGTCCATGTCCACGTCCACGTCCACGTCCACGTCCACGTCCACGTCCACGTCCACGTCCACGTCCACGTCCACGTCCACGTCCACGTCCACGTCCACGTCCACGTCCACGTCCACGTCCACGTCCACGTCCACGTCCACGTCCACGTCCATGTCCACGTCCACGTCCACGTCCACGTCCACGTCCATGTCCACGTCCACGTCCACGTCCACGTCCATGTCCACGTCCATGTCCACGTCCACGTCCATGTCCACGTCCACGTCCACGTCCACGTCCACGTCCACGTCCACGTCCACGTCCACGTCCACGTCCACGTCCACGTCCACGTCCACGTCCACGTCCACGTCCACGTCCACGTCCACGTCCACGTCATGTCCACGTCCACGTCCACGTCCACGTCCATGTCCACGTCCACGTCCACGTCCATGTCCACGTCCACGTCCACGTCCATGTCCACGTCCACGTCCACGTCCACGTCCACGTCCACGTCCACGTCCACGTCCACGTCCACGTCCACGTCCACGTCCACGTCCACGTCCACGTCCACGTCCACGTCCACGTCCACGTCCACGTCCACGTCCACGTCCATGTCCACGTCCACGTCCATGTCCACGTCCATGTCCACGTCCACGTCCATGTCCACGTCCACGTCCACGTCCACGTCCATGTCCACGTCCATGTCCACGTCCATGTCCACGTCCACGTCCACGTCCATGTCCACGTCCACGTCCACGTCCACGTCCACGTCCACGTCCACGTCCACGTCCACGTCCACGTCCACGTCCATGTCCACGTCCACGTCCACGTCCACGTCCACGTCCACGTCCACGTCCATGTCCACGTCCATGTCCACGTCCACGTCCACGTCCATGTCCACGTCCACGTCCACGTCCATGTCCACGTCCATGTCCACGTCCACGTCCACAGTCCACGTCCACGTCCACGTCCGTCCACGTCCACGTCCACGTCCACGTCCACGTCCACGTCCACGTCCACGTCCACGTCCACGTCCACGTCCACGTCCACGTCCACGTCCACGTCCACGCACGTCCATGTCCACGTCCATGTCCACGTCCACGTCCATGTCCACGTCCACGTCCATGTCCACGTCCACGTCCACGTCCACGTCCACGTCCACGTCCACGTCCACGTCCACGTCCACGTCCACGTCCACGTCCACGTCCACGTCCACGTCCACGTCCACGTCCATGTCCACGTCCACGTCCACGTCCACGTCCACGTCCACGTCCACGTCCACGTCCACGTCCACGTCCACGTCCACGTCCACGTCCACGTCCACGTCCACGTCCACGTCCACGTCCACGTCCACGTCCACGTCCACGTCCACGTCCACGTCCACGTCCACGTCCACGTCCACGTCCACGTCCACGTCCACGTCCACGTCCACGTCCATGTCCACGTCCATGTCCATGTCCACGTCCACGTCCACGTCCATCTCCACGTCCACGTCCATGTCCACGTCCACGTCCATGTCCACGTCCACGTCCATGTCCACGTCCATGTCCACGTCCATGTCCACGTCCACGTCCATGTCCACGTCCACGTCCAGTCCACGTCCACGTCCACGTCCACGTCCACGTCCACGTCCACGTCCACGTCCACGTCCACGTCCACGTCCACGTCCATGTCCACGTCCACGTCCACGTCCATGTCCACGTCCACGTCCATGTCCACGTCCACGTCCACGTCCACGTCCAGTCCACGTCCATGTCCACGTCCACGTCCACGTCCACGTCCACGTCCACGTCCACGTCCACGTCCATGTCCACGTCCACGTCCACGTCCACGTCCACGTCCACGTCCATGTCCACGTCCACGTCCACGTCCACGTCCACGTCCGCGTCCACGTCCACGTCCACGTCCACGTCCACGTCCACGTCCACGTCCACGTCCACGTCCACGTCCACGTCCACGTCCACGTCCACGTCCATGTCCACGTCCACGTCCATGTCCACGTCCATGTCCACGTCCATGTCCACGTCCACGTCCATGTCCACGTCCACGTCCAAGTCCACGTCCACGTCCACGTCCACGTCCACGTCCACGTCCATGTCCACGTCCACGTCCACGTCCACGTCCACGTCCACGTCCACGTCCACGTCCATGTCCACGTCCACGTCCACGTCCACGTCCACGTCCACGTCCACGTCCACGTCCACGTCCATGTCCACGTCCACGTCCACGTCCACGTCCACGTCCACGTCCACGTCCATGTCCACGTCCACGTCCACGTCCACGTCCACGTCCACGTCCACGTCCACGTCCACGTCCACGTCCACGTCCACGTCCACGTCCATGTCCACGTCCACGTCCACGTCCACGTCCATGTCCACGTCCACGTCAAGTCCACGTCCATGTCCACGTCCATGTCCACGTCCACGTCCACGTCCACGTCCACGTCCACGTCCACGTCCACGTCCACGTCCACGTCCACGTCCACGTCCACGTCCATGTCCACGTCCACGTCCACGTCCACGTCCATGTCCATGTCCACGTCCACGTCCACGTCCATTCTACGTCCACGTCCACGTCCATGTCCACGTCCACGTCCACGTCCACGTCCACGTCCATGTCCACGTCCATGTCCACGTCCACGTCCACGTCCACGTCCACGTCCACGTCCATGTCCACGTCCACGTCCACGTCCATGTCCACGTCCACGTCCACGTCCACGTCCATGTCCACGTCCACGTCCACGTCCACGTCCACGTCCATGTCCATGTCCACGTCCATGTCCACGTCCACGTCCACGTCCACGTCCACGTCCACGTCCACGTCCATGTCCACATCCACGTCCACGTCCATGTCCACGTCCACGTCCACGTCCACGTCCACGTCCACGTCCACGTCCACGTCCACGTCCACGTCCACGTCCACGTCCACGTCCACGTCCATGTCCACGTCCATGTCCACGTCCATGTCCACGTCCATGTCCACGTCCACGTCCATGTCCACGTCCATGTCCACGTCCACGTCCACGTCCACGTCCATGTCCACGTCCATGTCCACGTCCATGTCCACGTCCACGTCCACGTCCATGTCCACGTCCACGTCCACGTCCACGTCCACGTCCACGTCCACGTCCACGTCCACGTCCACGTCCATGTCCACGTCCATGTCCACGTCCATGTCCACGTCCACGTCCACGTCCATGTCCACGTCCACGTCCACGTCCACGTCCACGTCCACGTCCACGTCCATGTCCACGTCCATGTCCACGTCCACGTCCACGTCCATGTCCACGTCCACGTCCAAGTCCACGTCCACGTCCACGTCCACGTCCACGTCCACGTCCATGTCCACGTCCATGTCCACGTCCATGTCCACGTCCACGTCCACGTCCATGTCCACGTCCACGTCCACGTCCACGTCCACGTCCACGTCCACGTCCACGTCCACGTCCACGTCCACGTCCACGTCC